GATCCCTGACGTGAAAGAGACGGCTAACATGTTGGCCAGTAACAGCCGCCGCCATTATTGTCTGGCCGCTTCGTTTCCCTGGTAGTTTGGACTGCTTGTTTTAAAGTTTCACGGTTTAGTGAAACGGCGTGCCTTCTCCCTGAAAGTCGCATGATACCAGCGAGTGTCTGCTGCCCGTTTGGGTGACCTAGGGCGAAGTCTGGACATTGATCGCTTTCTCGACATCGATCTGGCAGGACGAGAGTGGATCGTGGCAATGGTCGCCTGCAACGATGGTACTCGCTGAGTTAAGTGTACTATTTGCTGCTGAATGTCCAGAAGGGGGTTCATAGAGGTTGACAAAATAAATACAAATAATAATAAAAACTATTTACAAAATAAGCTTGTCAGTCATATCTCCACAGTATGAGCTCTAGGAGTGACCACTTTCAAGGAGAAGATTAATGTTCAATGAGAAACAAGTCAAAAGGACTAACACAGGTTAAACTATCTATTATCCTTCTTGCTGAAGACCGGAGACTGAAGTTCTGTTAGCACTACGAATGACTGTCCCTGGTGTCACTCTTTGACGACCCTTCGCCTGCTAAGCCGCAAAAGGCACTGTTGGGCAGAATACAAACGAACTGATAACGACGGAGCGTATAGGCAATATAAACATATAAGGAACATATGCACAAAGGCTATAAGAGAAGACAGGCTTCAGTACCAGACAAAGCCTATGGACAAATTTGCCTCTAACCCTAGAAGCCTATTCCGCTATGCAGCCTCTCTTCGTCAAGCCAAAACAGGAGTTTCTCAGCTGGTAGGTCTTAACGGCCCGACCAACAACGATGGCGACGCCGCTGACCTTCTGGCGGCACATTACTCTCAAACATTTCAACCGGCTGACATCAACTTTACTGACGACAGTTTCATCTGCAATTCCACAGGACTTTCTGAAGTGGACCTAAGCGCTGACTTGGTGTTCCGGAAATTGCAGCACTTAAGATTAGATACTTCTCCTGGCCCGGACATGGTTCATCCTGCCATACTGAGGGAGGCAGCCTCAATCCTGGCAACGCCGCTTAGTGTGATGTTTTCACACTCTCTAAGCCGAGGCAAATTACCGGAAAGTTGGAAGTTGGCTCACATCACACCAATTTTCAAAGGAGGTCGACGCAATGAACCTTCAAGTTATCGGCCGGTGGCTCTTCTGTCATTACCTTCAAAACTCATGGAGTCCCTGATATGCGACGGTTTAAACGACTATCTACTGTCCTTAAATTTCTTCTCACCCCAACAGCATGGTTTCAGGAAGGGTTACTCTTGTATAACCAACCTGCTGACTGCGGTTGACAGATGGACAAGCATCCTCGATCGCAAGGGAAAGGTTGATATCATTTACCTTGATTTCTCAAAAGCTTTTGATAAGGTTAACCACTTGTGTCTTACCAATAAGCTCAAACGACTAGGTATCAAACCACCTCTAATCGATTGGCTTACTTCATACCTAAAAAATCGACACTTTAAGGTTAGGGTTAATTTCACTTTATCTCAGGCTATGGAATGTCCTAGTGGGGTCCCCCAGGGCTCAGTACTAGGGCCTCTTCTCTTCTTGATCTACATAAATGATCTTCCTCAACAGGTAACGTCAGACTTATTACTTTTTGCCGACGACGTGAAACTTTGGAGAGAGATACGCAACCAAGACGATATACAGGCACTTCAGGAGGATCTGACTCGACTTCAAAGTTGGGCAGACGATAACGGACTTACCTTTAACACTTCAAAGTGTAAAGTAGTCCATCTGCGACATGTTGCAAACTACAGTTACAACTTAGGAAACTCCTCTCTAGTAGTATCCCAAGTCGAAAAAGATTTAGGAGTCCTGGTGCCCCATGATTTAAAGTCTTACGCTAACTGTGACAAAAATGCCTTCCGAGCAAACCTTGCACTGGTAACGTTGAAGCGCATTTTTGGACAGTTTGACGGACGAACTTTCCATACAATCTTCAATAGTTTCATCCGTCCCCATTTAGAGTACGGAAACATAGTACTCCCTCCCTCACTCCAAAAGGACAAGGTCACGAAATCAGTTCGAGGACTCAAATCTAAACCTTACGAAGAACGCCTCCATTCACTAGACCTTTACCCATTAGAGTATAGGCGTCTTAGAGGTGATTTATTAATGGCTTATAGTATTCTTAACACTTCTGGACATCCTCTTAAACACCTACTTAAGCTTAGTTCGAATAATAACCTAAGGGGTAACACCCAGAAACTGGAAACACAACATAGCAAGACGGAATGTAGACACAACTTCTACTCCTTAAGAGTTGTCAAAACCTGGAATTCGCTGCCAGCCGAGCTAGTCCAAGCGACTTCTCAGGAGTCCTTCAAGAGGCAACTTGACCTATTCTTAAGGACCAAGGACAGCATCACATTATGATTTACCAATTTCTTTTCCTCTTTTATTGTTAACATACCTAGGCTCCTGCCTGGAGGATTTGGTGATCCCCTGTTACTAGACACGGAAGCCTGTTAAGCGAAAGCTTCTTCTATTCCGTCCACAACCATTTGAACCATTTGACCTATATTCATGACTTGATTATTTCGCCCTTCAGTTCCCGGAAGAAATATGACAGGAGTAACACATTTTCATAGCAGAAAACACTTCGATTACTCAGACACAGATCTCAAGGAAACATTTGATTCTGCCAGGCAAAGTTTGAAGGTTGAAAAGGTTTAACTTTTTAAGTTAGATATTTACCTGCTGCTTCGACCTTCAGCGCACTTGACGTTGGTTGCAAGGCTTTTTCTCTTGTATTTTCAGTTTAGATGTGGTTGACATGAATGAGGGTTTCCTCACATTGGATGTAATCCTCGCATCTAGGAACCATCTTTATTTTCCAGGATGCTACACACTAATCAACCCAGTCATCTGTTTTGCAAGACTATAGACACAGTCTATAGATTGTGTTTAACACAAAAATGCTGAACGAAAAACATGTTTGTGTCCAAAATTTAACCCTACTTTTCAAAAATTACTAGATCACGTATTTTTAAAGTTTTCAGTATTTCACGCTGAACCTTTTATCCTACTCTTTTTGTGTTTATTGTCACTCCAAGTTAGCAAAAACATAGATCTGTGCAACATTTGGCCCCACTTCTAAATTTATCCAGCTCTGACCTACGGTTTTTCTGAGTGAGATTTGTGTTTTGTGTCTTCACCTGCAGCTTTACAAACCTAAACTAATTTCATGACGTGCCAGTCACTGCTGGTAATGGTATTATGCGTTGGTATATATCATTTTAACAACTAAAATTGCCACTTTTTGATTAATGGGGTGATCACGAGTTGATTATGTACAAAGTAGGACCTAGGACAAACGTACATTTATCTGAGTTGCTATACCTATCAGGGATAAAAGTCAATGGTAAAAAACCGCGCTAGATCTATTAGTGTCTTTCTTAGGGTTTTTGGCTCGGATTTTATAACCATCATCCGAAAGCACTTGACTTTAACACTATGAATAGGCCTTCTCTATTGTAACTTCATGTACCATTACAATTGATCCTTTCTGTAGAAATAGTGATAAAGTAACACAATTTCTGTATCTTCTATCAAAGACAATACTGGTAATCACTCCAGCTGATTAAACCACGACAAACAACGTTTACTGTATATGTGCAGCGGTTAGGACTGGTTCTTCATCTGACTTTCTACCCAGTCCCTCATCAGATCCACTAGTCACGTCGTGCGTCAAATGTATCATTCCGGTACTGTATCTAATTGATATGTTACGTGTAGTTAGTGATTTGTGTTGACCCTTTCGGCAATTACTTCTATGAAGAGTCCAATTATGGTTGCTGGATCAGTTGCCCTAGTAGTTAAGCGCCTGGTAAAAACATCAGATTTGCAACCAGAGTTTATCCATTCATGGTTTAGAACACATTGTAATTGGGTGGAAATTATTTATCCTAGAGAAAAGAAAAGTGGATCTCAGTAGGTGGTGTTATATGTAATACGAAATGTTAACACGATCTTTATGTTTTGAAGAGAATAACCAACAAGTCCATCGTCCACTCACTAACTCACTACATGCTGTTTGATATGTTTAAGTGCATGATTATCTCTGGCGAACAATTTGTGGCTCTTAATGAGGGGTAAATTCCAAACACCCCTCATCAAACCGTTGAGATGTATGTTTCTTAAGTGAGATATTCTACACAATGAATATGTGGTTATACAATATGAGTGATATAGCGCAGGATTATTGGTAGTGTATCCCCTATTTCTCTCCCTTTGAGTACTAAACGTCTTGTCACTTTAGTTTCTCTCTTAGTCCATATTTTTATGGGATATCTTCTTGTTTGCTTCTCTATTCTGCAGTCGTAGAGTATGTGGCAACTTCTTTACTCTTTTTTACGCTATGTAGGTTGTATTTATGTACAAAAATCCGTAACGTCTGGCAGTACTTGGTTAAAAGGTGGAGAGAGAAAACAATCGTGAAACTCGTCTACTTCTTCTATGTGCTATTCAACGACATACGTCTTCAAATGATCGCCTGATTCACAGTAGTGTAAAGGAAAATCGCTGGTCAAATCCCGTAGTTTCCTAAATCTTGCTAGACTTCTTTTAGTACTACAAAATCCAGGTTTTGTGTCTTATGTACTTCAAGCTTAAGTGAAGTTAGTTACTCCATAACTTGATGAACATAAGTGTCGTTTCGTTTTGATTCATTTTGTTACTAGTTGTTAGGTTGCTTCTTGTAACCTTAATGTACTTAATCTAATTTGACTGAATAATAGTAATTAGTCCACTTGTAGGAGTTAGGACTTACGGCGTAAGACGCGAATTCCCGCTTGGCTAACCAGTTTCTAGTTACTTTTTCCAGTTTTGTCGCATGCCTTTAAAGTAACTTCTGTCATTCTTTTTCCAGGTTCTTATTGTATAGACATTTTCTTGTTAATAAATCGTACTGCATATCAATTAAAATCTTTCCAGAATCTTGGCTTTGATGGCGGCACCCGTGTTAACTAAGGAGGCTGCTGAAAAGACCGCGCGATCTATCTTCGTAGGTAACATACCGTATGAAGCGACTGAGGAAAAGCTTATCGAACTATTTAGCAAGGTAATAATTCTCATCCTACTTCATTATTTCATAGGCTGGTCCTGTAATCGGTTTTCGTTTGGTATATGATAGAGAATCTGGGAAACCCAAAGGCTATGGATTTTGTGAATACAATAACCCAGCTATTGCTGCGAGTGCTTTGCGGAATCTTCAAAATATTGAATTCAATGGTCGTCCGCTCCGTATCGGACCAGCTGCTGGAGAGCAAAATTCTGCTGAACTGGCCCTAAGTAACCCATCAGTTGGTCCACCACTTGAAAGCCCATATGGAGATAATATTGACCCACAAGCTGCACCAGAAGCTATTAGTCGAGCAGTTGCTAGCTTACCACCTGAACAAATGTATGAACTAATGAAGCAGATGAAACTTTGTATACAAAACAATCCTAATGAAGCACGCAATATGTTACTCCAAAATCCCCAACTAGCATATGCTTTACTACAGGTAACGTTTGTTGTTTCACTCTTATCTATTTGTCCATACAGGACTTCAAAACCATCGAATAAGTAGAGTAGTTGTTTCACTGATTTTTCTGTAACAACTGTTAATTGTATATAAGCTATGCAATCTAGGCTATCAATCCTATTTTACAGAATGTCGAATTCTTGAGAATTTCTTACCTCTATTTTACCTGGGCGTTAATGACCAGTACGTTTCGATCTTTATCATACATCTGACCATTTGTCCATTCCTGACGTCTAACATCTCTGGGCTTATTACCTTCAATGGACTAGTTATGTCGAAATGTTTTGTTAATTAGAGTCAATGCAGAATGGATGAATCTTCGAGAATCAGACCAAGACAATATGCCTATATATAAATCCTGACAATTAAATTAAACACTGTGCGACTACAAACTGCTCTAGTTGAGTCTATAAGATATTGACAGTTGAAATGTGAAAACCACAAGCAATATGATTGAAAACCAATTAGATTGGAACTGGTATATCCATTTGGTCTAAACTATTGATTGTTGTCTTTTCACTTATTTTTTAAACTTGAATAGGTATTCCCTATGGATTTTTTGAACGTGTGAAAATTCGAACCAACGTACCATTACATCATATCCTATAAATTTATCAATTAAGATGTGGTTAGATCGCCCCACTAACTGTTAGCTAACTATTGTCCGTTTATCTCCCACAGATCTAACCAAAGCTATAAAGTGGTGCGATAATCGAAAAGGAACTAGCTGTATTTCTTCGAGCTAAAACAATTATAGTTAGCACTTGGGTTTTTTTATATGTCGTTGATTCATATCAGTAGTTACCATGTCATAAACTCATTCCCGGTGTTTGCACTTAGCTCTCATCAATAAACCCGGTAAACGGTATTATTCTCTCTATGTAACGCAGTCGATATATCACATCGTTATATTATGTAAAGTAACGGGACGCTAATTGAATCTCGAAAGTTGACGTTCTTTCTAAAGTCATTTGTTTTATGGAGTTCTCCAAAAAAATCATAATGCAGAAAGTTGTCATTTACAATAATAATGTGAAATCACAGACAGTGAACCAGACTAAGTGCAGATTACTGAGTCCAATTTTCAGGTGTTTTCATTTCGACATAATCGGATTAAAATACGTTCTTTTACTTATTTCTTTCATTTGTTTCATAGGCTCAAATCGTTATGAAGATTGTCGATCCCAAAGTTGCCATCGCTATGTTAAATCGCAGTCATGATCAAATCCCCCCTGCTATGCCGGATGAAGACATGTCTATGAGAGCACCAGTTATGGCTTTTCCTGGTCATATCAATCAGACACCACCTTCTGTGGGTCCTAACACTCCAGGAAATCATATGATGCCCATGTCTTCACCTGGGTCTCACTTGCCTCCCTCCGGCTTTCCACATCACGGTGGACCTGGACCCGTCCCACATCCAAACCATTTCGGTGTTGAACAAGTTCCACAAAGAAGTCAAGCACCTCAAGGAAGTAAGTGTTTGTTGAAGTAAAGAGAGAGAAGTAAAAACTCAAAACGATTCCGCTCTTTAGACTCGGATCGTAACATCAGATTAGATGGGTCACTTATCAGTCATTTATAGGCAAGACCTGGGGCAGATGTACATTGGTTGAAGGCCCCACACTTTTTACCGGTGGAAAGAAAAAAAGCAATTAACAAAATAGAAAAAAGAAGTCACAGTGATAGTAATATTAATAATAGTTACAGAAACTAAATACCAAGAATGTGATTTTAGAACAACCAAATAAATAAAGGGATATAAAGTATGAAATAATATTGAAGCTTAGTCTAGGAGAAAACAAAGGACGAGTACATCTTTATCATTGCGATTTATTAGAAGTCTTCACTTAAGAACCTCAACCATTAGTTTTGATTGTCACTTGAAATCTGATCAGGAGATCTGTATCTCCGAACACGTCTCAAACTAACAGCTGGTGTTTTCATGGCTTACACCATGTTGGTAAGTGCGGAATGCCTTATTGGGGTGTCCGCTCGATTGTCATGAGGAATAGTTGGGGACGTTGGGTGACATTAATCAAAGTCGGTCTCAGTGATGTAAAAACTTTTACTGTTTATGTATCTCTAAATTACGAGTTTTAGAACCATTTTTTACCTTTTATCCCGAGAATTCACCCTCTAATCACTTGTATGTCTAATCTCCTCTACTTCCGTTGATATTACTATGGTATTCACCCTGGCAATTCCACCTTTTCTGATGTGGTGTATCAGCTTGGACGGATCCACACATGTACAAGGTCCTACGTTACTTATATCTAACTACCTCATGGGATAATGTCATATCTTTGTGTAACCGTCATCTGACATAAATCTTTGCTAACTTCGATTATAGGGGACCACTTGAGTAATGGCTTATGATCCTAATGGTTTTTCGTGTACAAAGTGCAAAAACGTACTCTCTAGACTCAGGTTGTAAGAAATGTGACGAATGATTTTAATCTAAATGAAGTTCATGCATATAATCCCGTCAAATTGCTAGGCACATCAATTCCATTCCGATGTTGCACTACTAGTCGTTCTTCAAATATACCTTGGCAATGGGGAATTCAGTAGTTAAGTACAGCGGGCAACTGATTACCCTAATGTTTGTGTTACTACTCTCTATCTAGTTGAAACAGGAAATTTTTTATTTGTCAACTAACCGTTGTCGTAAAAAGGTGGATTTTGCGATAAGTAGTCACAGTGAACATTAGGATCTAAAAAGTTCACATCACAGGTAAACTACCAATCTGATTTTCAAAATTCAACGTTAAAATTAGGTTTTTGATGGAGTTTTGTTCTCTGAGCTGGATAGTTTTGTCGTGGAGCTTTCGTCGTTCTTCTGGACGATATCGTCAGCACAAACTTCAAGTAGAAGTGAAGTGTTCGGATTTCTCCACATGTGGTTCACAGCTTGTCCTGTAGACCTGAAATTAGGTGCAACATTGATGATAATTTTGATAGTCACGTAGACTTTTAACTAATATGCACTTACTGTTCTTAATAAAAATTAGTACAACTTATCTCCGTACAAGCCATCAATGTCTAACTGTTTGACTGTGGGTAAGTAAAACAGAAATAAGTGCAATTTATTGGACACATGTCTTTGTGTTATTGTAGGATTCATTTACTACGTAAAAGCTAATCAAAATCGCCAACCCCGAAGCCAATCTAAAACAAGGCAATGAGCAGAAGGAGCCAATGTTTATTGTGAGAAATTGCAGTATTTATATCATACATATATATAGCCTTCCATCATCCATTCTCATCTCACCGTGTATTCTGCAATCCTAACTGTTTTCTCCTCTAGTCTTCAAGTGTTCGGTCTACTTCGTGCTTTGGTGTGCCGAGACTCCTCTGTCTGGTGGTTTTTGAGCCCACATTCCTCCACACAGTAGTTACAAGTAATCTTGTAAGTAGCCTCCACCCCGCTAGTGTAAACGTTTGTAGTCAGTAGACTACCATTGTTGTTATCTTGAGGTGGTATTGAGATTATCTTTCGTGACAACTCAATCGTACCATATTCGCTGATTGATCGTTCTTTGAGGCCATAACATACCAATCAGGTTGGTTGAATAGTATCCAGATTGAAAGCGACAAATCCAAAGTCTTATGACTCATTCGTACTGTCAGTTTCATCAAGATGTGTCAACAAAGCGTTTTCCACGGGCACCCAGCATCTTTAGAAATGCTGCCTACAAATAACTGGATGGGCTAGAAGACATCGGCCTTAAAAATAACACTAACTCTCTCCTTTGATTTATGTTGGCAAGACTCTAAAGAGGTGGAGCTAATACAAACGAAAAGACTTTGAGATCGGTCTCAAGTCGTTGTCCCTTAGGCTCTAGGATCACGCTCTCATGTCCTACCGGGAATCAATGTCGACCGCCCACATACGTCTAATAGTATACACAAGATTGTCGAAATCAATTAACAATAATAAAAATCTTCATCACAAAATGTTGTCGGCACTGCGTTAAACTGCTGATTTTATCTTGATATTCTGTCATTATTGCTCTATGCAGTAAAATTTGACAAGATAATTTACCGAGTTGTATTTCAAAAGTAAGATTCGAAACCCAAAGCAGTCTATCAAACCGTGAGAAAATCTCAACATTAAGGCCATGTGGTACCAAGTTATTAATTTTTAAGATAAGATCATGCGATCGTTTAGCACAAAATAGACTTGGATGGATGGAACGTTAAAATGTCGCCAGATGTACTACATGTGTGACAACTTTTGTGAATAGATTAGTTGCTATAGTGCAGTAGTTTTTTCTTTGAGAACTTTTCTGTTACTAAGCCATGAACTAACTGGTTATTTGACGCTCTTTGCAAGTATGTATCTATATGGTGTTAATCTATGGATATCATTACATGTTTCCTACTTCTGGTCCATACATTTTTAGTGCAACAGAAGTTTTATCCAAATAATATGCCACCTAATGGGTTTCCTCCTAATTCTGTTGCTCCACCATCCCAGCCGCCTTTTGACTATCCATCGGGTCAAACACAGTCATCAGCTGTGTCAGGACAACAACCACATTTCAATCCCAATGGACCTCCAAATATGGCCGTCCGACCTCAAAGACCGCCCGCTGCTCAAGTAAGAATTTCTTTACTAAATGTTACAGACTAGTACCGATAACGCACTATGTACGTAAACAATTGTAGAGAATTTCTAGTTCGTCGTCACTTAATTTCCAATACTGAATACCTCTCCGTATATGTTCAATTCAGAAGTAGGTTGGAAAAACTGTAAATCCTGGGATTCAGGATGCATAACACGTTAGAGTTTTTCAATGTACAAACCATCAAGTTCGTCATTTCTGCCTACGCTGACGTCAGCCAGAATGAAGTAAAAGATGGATTTTACAGAGAGCTTTCTGAACTTTTTGATAAAGCTAAACACTCAGACATAGTACTTGTAGCAGGTGACTCTAATGCCCAAGTAGGTAGTTTAAACCAAACATAAAGACATTTAGGTGGGTATTTCGGTATTCCAGTTCAACAAATAAATACTGGTGACTGTTTGCTGCAATCGTTTGTTTCTAACAAGCGCTAATTTTAAGCATAAGGAGAGACATCTAACATGGCGGGGGCTGCACCAAACCAAAGATGTACCGAATAGACCATATTGCCATCAGTCGTCGTTGGAGAGGATCGTTAGAAGGCTGCCGCTCGTTCTGGAATGCATATTTAGACTCTGATCATGCTCTAATAGGAGTACGCGTCTACTTGCGCCTCACTGGACACAGAAAAACCACATTAAGAAGACAAATTAGAGTTGGACTTAGCGACGAAAAGGCCAAAAGTAAATTCCAAGAACTAAAGTGAAACTTCGGCGATTTTGAAAACGAGGCTGACCCAGATGTTGCTTGGAAAGTCATACGAACATCTATGGAAACAGCAGCGACATCTATCAGTGTTATGAACCAAAGGGTCACAAATAACCAGTGGATTTTCGCTAAGTCTACTGCACTGATAAACCCTCATGAACTTATCCCGTCAGGCTCCGAACACGATGACGAGCGGAAACAAATCAGATCTAAATCAACCAAAAGACTACGAAAGGATCGTGAACAGTGGTGGACAAAAAGGGCGTGAGATTGAAAAGGCAGCGGCTTTAGGTAACACAAGACAGCTTTTGAGACTAATAAAAGAAACCGGAATTAAGAACTCAAGTGTAAGACAATATCAGTAAATGACGACACTCTTATCTGCTCTCCGTTCAAACGTTTAGAATGATGGGCGGTACACTTGAAGGAGCAGTTCAACTGCTCTATAACTACCCACCATTCCAAGACAACCTGCGTTTCTCTCCCTCTAAATAAAATTTATGGCTTCAGGACTGGCTTGCGTCAACACTTAAACTAAGGGTAGGAAGTCACGTAGTCGAACGCATCGACAACTTCACTTATCTTGGAAGTCTGATCAGCCCTAATGGGTTGTTGTCTGACGAAATCTCAGCACGGACTCGAAAGCTCACTTACCTTTTGCCAAATTATGTGACCTATGATGGTGAGATATCCGTCTATCAATTCAAGGACAAGTGTACTGTGCAGCAGTCCGTTTTGTTTTACTTTAAGGCTGTAAAACATGGCCATTGAGAGTAGAGGATACTCATAAGTTACTAGTATTTGATCACAGATTTCTTAGAAATATTGCTCGCATCTACTGGGATCACCGGTGAGGTTCGACAACAGGGTATTAGGGGACGATGGTCAATCAGCTGATGAGGTGAATCTTCATCAATTGAGATGTTCGAGCCTCGTATTACGCACAGCTAACCACCGATTACTACGACGCGCAATGCTGACAAGTGTTGGAAACGTGCTGCATCAGTCCATAAAGTCATTAATTTCTGGTCTTAATTATGTTGGCAGATGCATACTACTTGGTTGGGGTCTGTGCGACTATCGTAACCAGTAGTTGAAGACTCTGGGTGACATGGCTCGATCACAATGCCGTCGGTGTATACACTCTTTGTCTTCCCTTAAACCGTTGAATTGTAATTACTTTACACCTTCCTTCCTACGAACAAACTCCCCCCCTCTGTATCGTATCTTTATATGCAATATTTTATGATTCATATATTACTACCATTGAAGTAACTACTTCTATGAATTTGATGTTCACCGTGTTGTGCTGATGAGGTATGGCAACTTGGACCGATGCATATACGTGCCTGGTCCTGCGTTGTACCTGACTGACCATAAGTCTGTTTGGTAGACACTGGCAAAAAGCAGCCTTCCAAACACTGAGTGATAACACAAATGTTTGTGATATTGTTCTTCCCCTTTTAGATTCAAAAAGCTTGATTCAGGACTGATCAATAGCTCTCACTACAGCACTAATCTTGGGAGTCTCATCACTCCTGGTGGGTTAATGACTATTGAAATCTTAAGACAGATACAAACTCTCTTGATTTTCACTAACTAATGGGTGAGTACTCTTTTCAGCAGCTTGACCTGTTCACGGAATGAACTGTGTTGATGATAGAAAAGTCAACCGACATAGGAACTGGGACAAATGTGCGTCAGTCAAAGTTGCTGCACATCGTTTCAGGACAGTTAGAGGATAGATTAACAGCATAAGCAAAAGAAAACCAGTTTTAACTCCAATGTAAATCTAAACATGAGAAATGTCGTCCAGGATCAGAGTGAAAGTTATGAATAACACAACTTAGGAGTGCAACCGTGATTGACTCAGCACTATATCATCTGATTACTATTATGAGTAAGTAGGTGTACTTTGAAGAAATTGTAATTCTTCACCGATCGAGGCGGTTAGGACACGCAATATATATACCTAGACACTCCCTACTTCGATGTCCGATAGTGGTCAGGATAGCAGGTTGGAGAAAAGCTAAGAGTAAGCAGGTCAAGACACAATACCAACCGACCAAGTCACTAGCTTTGAACTTCTTAGTTGGAGGCAGCGCAACAGTCGTACTCTGGTTAGATATGAATAGTATGGTCAAAATTCGATGTCAGCAACACAGATGCATTCTTCCATCTCCCTTTAAATTTTAAGTTAAGTATCATTGGTCACACTCATCTTTTGATAATGTGTGTCCCCTTTGAACTGCGTAAGTGCTTTCCATCCTGTTAATTCCCTCTCTTACTGTGCTAATGTGAGATGTGGTAAACATATCCTACTTCGGTTGATTGCCCCTCAGTGTAATTTTCCGTTAAACAACTAATTAATGTATCTTATCTGTATATTTGAATTTATTGTAAGAATCACAAGTTTCTCCAGATAAACATGTACATATACACTTTTGAACTACGTATAAGTAAAACTAAAAAAACTTTCCATCATGTTTAATGACCTTTATAATATTAAACTACTTCACCTTTAAATAGTACCAATAAGATAGACTTCTCGTAAACATCTACTTTAAATAGTCTCTTGAGAATGCAATTATTATCTGATTTATATACAAATGCATAAAATCGCATGTTACATATTCTAGTTAATTTTACTTATTTTTTAAATAATTTTAACAGATTACCCCTGCAATTGCTGCAGCGGCAGCTGCAAGCATGGGTCCCAATAGTTTACTAGCAGGACAAGGTGAACAAGAAAAAGTCACACTTATTATGCAAGTTCTTCAGCTATCAGATGAACAACTTGCTCTCTTACCTGAGGATCAACGACGCAGCATTATGATTTTAAAAGAACAACTTGGCAAAACAGGAGCAATTTAATCCCTTATAGTGTGTTATTTATTGATATTTACAGCATCCCAATAAATTTGTAATTTAATAAAAATAAAGCAATTGGAATTATGCAAGATAACTGTATTGATCAGGATCATCTGGATTTCGTTCAAGATAGCCAGTATCTATTAGACCTTCAATGCAACGCTTAATTAGTGGTACCGGTGGTTGAAAGCAGTTAGATGCTTGCTGTAAAATAGTTTCAATAAGCTGTGCATGCTTTATCTGTCTTCGAGCTTTTAAAATTCGCACAATAGCCGCTTGTATGAAGTAGCGCCGATCCTCGTTCACTTGACGATCAACCTGATCAGCTTCCGACTGCAAAGTAAACAATAAAACAAATTTAGATTTGCTTAGAAACAATGGCTTTAAGAGGCTTAGTGAACCTCACACTTTCTGATTTAATTAGTATTACAAACATATACTTAATTAAATGTATCTTATAACAAACTACGTAAAGGTTACCAAAACAATGCATCAGATTGATTTGTTACTTATCTCGAAACTGCAGAGAAGCAAAATAATAAAGTGAGTTGAACGTCTGGTTGACGGAGATGAAAGAAAGAAAACTAAGTGCATCACTATTATCAAAACCAGTGTCTTAATTGACTAAAGTTAGTCATGTGAGCTGTTGGATGCCAGCTCAGTGATCAAAAACTTAAGCCCTTGTCGCGAGACCTGAAGATCCTGGGTTCAACTCTCAGCGGGGTTGTGAATGGCCATTGCTTACTAGTCCCATACTAGAACGCAACAAATTTCAAGTGGTTTCCTAGGTCCAGTCTGCGATGTAAACAGTATGGGAAGTGTTGATAAAATTAAGTCATCGTCTAATATTTTTCTAGCCCTTGTGTGTAAAGGGAATACTAGTCTTAGCATCATGTAATGTTACGAATAGACTTCACAAATATGGCGCTGTCTATTAATGGATATATAAAATCCTAAAGTATTTGTAAGTATCCGCTTGGACATTCTAGTATTCCCACAAGTCAAACCACTAATCTGTTTCCTGTTACGGTTACATGATCAAAAGCTAATCTTCGTTTGATTTACTCGTCATCATAAATATATTGTTCCAGGGATTTTGTAACAGAACTTAGTTTAATAAAAATACAATTTTCTTATCAATATGCAAGAAGTCTGGGCCACCCATCTTTTACTTCACCATTTTAATTGTAGTCAGCTTAATAATTATATAAATTTAGGTGGAAGCATATACATTCATAAAAGTAACTAACCTGGTTTGATTCTTTTCCTTGTGAGCCGAAATTCACCCTTAGCTTTAGACGTTTGCTTGTAAACGAACGGTTTAGGGCTATAACGCTATCCATCTACGCAAATATATAAATGGTTAGATGTATTATGCTATCAATAACTTACTGTTACGATGTTACCCAATGAATTACTACTTTGCCCTTCAGTTGCTTCAACATATATTATGTTCAATTCAATTAGTGGTGTCAAAAGTCGTTGAATAAGATCCAGTTCACATGAAGAATCCAACACATCTTGTGAACAAGTTTCCATTTTACTAGTAATTGAAGAGTCAGTGGTTGGAACACTTCGTTTAGATGTAGAGTTATTTTCACTGCTTATAGTTGGTCGACTTTCAGATACCGCTAGTTGTAACCCGAAATGCAGATCTTTCACTTTGATACGATCTGAGTCCATATGATCAAAAAATAGTAGGATAGCAGCATTAATAGCAGGCGCTTGTATTTGATAAGTCTTATCAGTGAAAAGTACTTGGAGTTCCACTGTTGAATAACTATGTGCCCATCTCATTTTTCTTCCTTGATGAGCGGCTGTATAGAATTCTTCAAAATGGTAAGTACATGTATACAATTCGAGTGGGAGTAAAAAATCAGTAACACCACTAAGTGAAATTGGCCACGAGCATTGCTGAAAAAGGAAATGAAATAAAGATCTACTAGGACTAATCTAGTATGGCAGAAGTTGAAGAATACTTTATTTGCTACATGTACTTACATGGCTCCAGACAATAGTCAAGCTGCTCAAATCAAAACTGATTGGACAAAATATAAATTTGGAATTATATCACATATACATAAGGTGGAACTATTGGTTCATTTCATACGAAAAAATAAACCTGATTATTAGAATGTGCTAAAACATGTTTACGCTAAATAGAACATCTCAGTCCTGTAGATCAATCACAGTCCAAGTGATTTAATATGAAGTTTAGTCACTTTACAAGTAACTGACTATAAATAGTGTTCAGTCAGTTGTATACAATCACAAATTTGCTTTAATTTCTTTGTATTCTGCTGTTGAATGTATTATTAATTACGAAATACTACATGAGTGATTGATTTCCGACGATGGTAAAATTTTAATTGAAAATATGATATTATTAATTGAGATTTTATAAGTGAAACATTTATGTACACTTCATATCCAAAAACTGTAATATGATCAGAATAGAATAAAATTATTGCAATCGCTAGTTACTGAACAAACTCATATCTTCTCGTCCCCACCCACGGATTCACCTTATTAACACAGATAATTCTCTTTCCCCAATCATCAAGATAAATAATCACAAAAAAGTTTACTCAGTACTGTTTTCGATAATATGTTACAATGTGAACTGTGTTGCCACTTTGTATGTTACTCAACAAAACCTTGTTGGTCGAGGCTATTAAAAACATGATATCAGGGAGTTGGATATAAATTTTCGTGGAAGATTTTGAATATTCTAAGAGATAAAACATTTCTTAATTGAAACAACTTGTAAGGCATTGAAGTAAATAATATTAATAACATTCAATGAATAACATTTTTTTACTAAGTAGTAAAATTACAAAGGTAGAGAGATAACTAACTGGACATGATCATATACGATGATTGTATGAACTGGTTCCATTATGCAACCAGTTTCATGTGCTATTACCGCGAATAATTGAACTAATTGTCAGAAGCAAGTAGGTTAGATATTATAAAAATCAGATTTGCTATTGAATAGAACATAATTGGATGAGCACATATCTGAGCATACTAGTCTAGATAATTGTATCATCATGTGCTCTTTCTTGTCTAGTACTCTCTGAACAATATATTACACTCAACGCGACTGGTAGCAAGAATGACTTGGAAACAAAATGTATCCTAAAAAAGTTTCGGAATTAAAAACAATCGGTTTTATGTGGGAATCATATAAGGTATTAGCAAGTTTTGGATTTATTCCGGAGCGTTGTTTGCATATGAGCTAGTCAGTGTTTAGATAATTTTAAGCATAAAGGTTGGATTGTTAAGAATTTATTCTTTTAACAAGGCATTGACTGGTTCATGATTTCAATGGAACTTTTAACAAAGTTCGTACATATTAGATTTTACAACAACGGAAAATTTGTTCAGTTTATCGGTTCTTTGATTGTCTTCACTATTAACTCAAGACTTTGTATTTCCCGTTTTGTTAGCTCAAAATCCGCATATTTCTAAACCTTAATAAGTTAAGTTACTCTAACAAGATATCTTTTTTTAAAGAAAAAGATATTGTATGGTATATTGTTTAAAATTAATCACAATTATTAACATAAAATTGAATTTACTTACCGTTAAAACATGAAAATGATGACCAAAGGTAAAACGTATATCTTTTGATTGTAAGTACTCATTAAACTTCCGATTTAACTCAGGACTAAGTTGAACATCATTAAACATACGCTGAAATTTTGAAGTAAATTCATATCCACAAACAGTTTTTAGCTGATTAATCACAGATTCTTCAAGTTCAAGCATGGAAGAATAATTGAACACCAGTCTTTTGCACAGCATACGTTGATAATACTAAGAAAAATGTAATCATAATTATGAACATAAGTTATCAGTATTATGGAAGATTAATTTTAATCTCTTTATCCACAGTATAAATTAGTAGAAAGCAGTTCTAGAGAACACTACAATTTCGTAGATTATCAACAACTATGATAAATAAAAATTAAGTTTCTCTAAAAAACGTATTACAGTCGACGTTACTACACTGAACAGCACAACACAAAAAGATGAAGAAAGTGATATGGATGATGATAATGATAATAACAACTAAACACGAGAAACATTTTACAATCTTCACAAATCCTCTATACTAACAGTAAACATGTGCTTACTAGTGACTAGCTTCAAGATTTAACTGCCGAAGTTCTAGCATCAAGCCGTGACTCGCAGAGATCAAACCGTGTAGAGTGTGAGACAGTTATTCACCACGCGCAACGGATAAAGGTTACACAACATCGCGAATAGGTTAAACTTAGACATTGAGACAGTTGGGTAGTGGTTCAGTGGGCTGGCTAGAGTTTAGACTTTTGTGTGCGAGACGAACGTCGTTGGTTTGACTTCGGATGCGGAGTCGTGGATGCACACTACTAAGCAGTCCCATATCAGGATGAAACAGCCGTAAAGTGCTTCCAGGTTTTTAATCATGGTCTAGATAAGACTAGTTCGTGATTTTAAACTGAGAATTATGTCTTCACGAATCTTCTTATACTTATAATAAGAAATATAATTCATAACCAGTAGATTAGCATGGATATTAGGGATATGTAATGATACGATCATCAAGATTTAGAGAAAACACAACAGATGCGTACATTTACCCCAATACCATTAACTCAAAGTCATGACATATGGGTCCTTAGTAGTAGATGACAATTATTCTGTTCAACTTAACTGGAGAATTCGAAGTTCTAGAAATGACATACACTAGCACTCAGTGACTTCATGTGGTAAAGCTATTTCCTGTTTTTGAATGTTCCTATTCTTCCTCCAATCAACTCTTGAAAAGTTCGTTACTGGAACATTTATTACTGCCTTTCTGACCGCTTCCTAAAATGCCAAAATACTCCTAGACGTCAACTTGAATAATGGAAAAAAGGTGCGAAATTTGAGTAAGAGGTTAGTTTGTGCACAGAAAATCGAAGGTATTTATAAATTTGTATATGAAATCATGCTTCCAAAACCTCCTGCAAGCA